AGAGGCGAGGGCGCCCCTGGGAGCTCGGGTGAGCCAAAGCATGATGCCCAGGTTAAGAAGGCAAAGAGGCCAAAGCCAGAAACTCAGGGAATCAAAGCCAAGAGGAAGCCAAGTGCTTCATCCAAACCCCCCCTGGTGGGAGATGCAGAAGGTGCCATTGCGTCCCCCAGTCAGAAACCTCACGTCTGTGAACACTGCAGCGCAGCCTTCAAGAGCTCCTACCACTTGCGCAGACATGTGCTCATTCACACAGGGGAGAGGCCTTTCCAGTGCAGCCAGTGCAGCATGGGTTTCATCCAGAAGTACTTACTGCAGAGGCACGAGAAGATCCACAGTAGGGAGAAGCCTTTTGGGTGTGACCAGTGTAGTATGAAGTTCATCCAGAAGTACCACATGGAAAGACACAAGAGGACACATAGCGGAGAAAAGCCATACAAATGTGACACTTGTCAGCAGTATTTTTCAAGGACTGATAGACTGTTGAAGCACAGAAGAACATGTGGTGAAGCCATAGGTAAAGCAGGGGCTGGAATGGAGCCCGGATCATCCAATAACATGGGTAACTTGGCTGCATTGTCTCAGGGAAATACAAGTTCCTCAAGGAGAAAAAGTAAAACAAAAAGTACATCCACTGAAAACAAAGGAAGTAAGTGTAGCAGCAAAGTAACTGAATCTCAAATTACAAGTAATGTGGCCATGCCAAATTATGCAGTTGATATTCCTATTGTGTCTTCCAGTGGTGGTCTAGTTGGCACAGGCGTAGAAGAACTTCAGAAAAAGGTGCCAAAATTGGTCTTGAAAAAAGGAAGCAGGAAGCAGGCAGACAAAAACTACCTTAATTTTGTATCACCACTGCCAGATATTCTGGGGCAAAAACCACTGTCTGGGAAACAGAGTGGCTCTCTAGGCCTAGTAGGCAATACCGGTGTAGAAACTATTGGCCTTCTCCAAAGTACAGGTGGTAAACCAGGTCAGATAAGTAGCAATTACGATGATGCCATGCAGTTTTCGAAGAAAAGAAGATACTTACAAACTGCAAGCAGTAACAGTGCCTTTTCAATTAATGTTGGACATATGACTTCCCAGCAGTCCGTCATCCAGTCTGCAGGTGTGAGTGTTATGGATAATGAAACTCCATTATCTCTTATTGATTCTGCATCTTTAAATAGTGAAATAAAGTCTTGCCAGGACAAGTCAGGTATTCCTGATGAAGTCTTACAGAGCCTTTTGGACCAGTACTCTCACAAATCGGAAGGCCAGAAAGAAGATCCTTTCAGTATAACTGAACAGCGTGTGGACTTGCACACCTCAGGAGAACATTCGGAGATGGTTCAGGAAGAAAACTTGAGCCCTAACTCTCAAACAGTTTCAAATGATAAAGCAAGCATGTTGCAAGAATACTCCAAATACCTCCAGCAAGCCTTTGAAAGAACAACCAATAGCACTGGCTTTGCTTTTGGACCCAGCTTCCAGTTTGTTAGTTTGTCTTCAACTCTCCATAACCACACTCTCTTTCAAGACAAACAGATATACACTACGTCACCGCTCGAGTGTGGCTTCAGCCAATCTGTTACCTCAGTATTGCCAACTGCGTTGCCAAAACCTCCGTTTGGGATGTTGCTTGGATCTCAGCCAGGCTTTTACTTGTCTGCTTTGGAGGCTACGCATCAACAGTTGACTCCTTCTCAAGAGCTGGATGATCTCATTGATCCGCAGAAAAACTTAGAGACTTCGTCTAACTACCAGTCAACATCTCAGAAACTGACTGGCCAGAAGGAACAGAAAAACTTAGAATCCTCAGCAAGCTTTCAGATCCCATCTCAGGAGTTACCTAGCCAGATTGATCCTCAAAAGGACATAGAGCCTAGATCAACCTATCAGATCGAGAACTTTGCACAAGCGTTTGGTTCTCAGTTTAAGTCGGGCAGCAGGGTGCCAATGACTTTTATCACTAACTCTAATGGAGAAGTGGACCATAGAGTAAGGACTTCAGTGTCAGATTTCTCAGGGTATACAAATATGATGTCTGATGTAAGTGAGCCATGTAGTACACGAGTAAAAACCCCAACCAGCCAGAGTTACAGGTAAGGTCCCGACTGTGACCAGGCTGTGGGGTCTTCTTAATGTAATATTTGTTTTACTTTGACAACACTGCCATTGGAATGTTTCTACACGGTCCTATTAAGAATAATGTAACATGCCCTTTCAATGCAACTTTTCATATTTAGTTTATTTTTAGTGTGATTTTTTTTTTTTTTTTTTTAGATCTGTTTATTATGGTTTTTAATCAAAAATCAATAGATTAAAATAGTGTTTTTGTTCAAGTGACAATGTTTAGCAATCAAATTTACATTATATAGATTGTCAGGGAGTAGCCCAAAAGTTTAAAATGCAAAAAATTAACTTTGTTCCTAGGACTAAGGTTTATTCTAATTGCTTTACTCTCAGGAAAGTGTAATGAAGCATGGGAATTCTATGCACCAGTAGTGTATTGGAACTTCCAATTTACAGATAGTGACAAATATATCTCAGCTTTTTGAGGAAGGGATCTATGACATTTCAAATTGCTCTCTCTTATGTCTGGGCTGATCTGAATTTTGCTACCTAAATCTTGTTGTTTTTAAAGTACCCTTGTTCTTCCAGGTGATGCTCATTCCAGGCAGGTGGAGCAAATATTCTCGGGTCTGTATGAAGAGCCCAGAATGGTAGCTTTAATATAAACAATAATGTCCCCAGAACTCCTGTGTAAGACTGTAATTCCAGAAAGAGATTCTGTTGACACAAACCACGAGAACAAAACGTGTGTGTCTGGTTCAGGTCTTTAGAACCCCGACATGAAACTACAGTCATAATCCAGATAGGCTTTTTGGGATACATTATTTATTATACATGGTTCAAAAACGTTGGTCTCCTGCTCTTCCCCTTTTCCGTGTCCTTTTAGTGTGTTAAGGTTCCCTCTCTTTTGTTGTGATCCCAATTCCTCTGGACTTGATCTTGGGGTCTCTTCTGCTTTTTAATTTACATCTTTTCTTCCCCTTCTTGCCTACTCACCCTCTCACCCCGACTTAATAGCTAGCATTTAAAAAGATTTACATTCCAGAACGTGCTTACCTTATTATGTACCTTCTGATGTCTTATAACATCAGATGATGAACAATAAACACCCACATGTTTTAAAATTATGTCAAGGTTTCCATGTACAATAAGAAATAATCTACTCCCAATTGTACATACTGTGGCCCCTGTCCTGCATCAGGATCAGCTAACTCAGACCCCTGTGCCCAGCAGCCTACCGGTGGTGTCTCTGGAGCTATTTACAGTAGGGGTTTGCAGCAGTTCATCGTTGCAGGCTCTTAGGGCCTAAGGCTGCAATTCCATCAAAGGCTTCTGGTGATGACATCAACTACAAAAGTAGAACTTGAGTGGCCTGTTAATATCAACAGAACTTTTCTTTGGAATTATTGCCTTACTTTATGTATATTTTGTGGTACATTATTTATTATACGTGAATCCTGATAAATGCCTGTGGAGCCACGGAAACCTGCTAGAAATACTGGTGGCCATTCAAAGCTGCTGAAAGGCAGTGGCACTGTTCTAAACCACTTTTTGCAAATGTATTTTTTGATTAGTTTTTTAATGTAATTTTGGTGATGTTTATGCTGATGGTTTTTTATGTACTCTTGGTGATGTTTCAGTCTTATGTACTTTCCTGGTGTCAGGAAAGTACCAGTGGTTGTTTGCAGTCTTATTGTGTAATCAGCCTATTACAGGCTTCCATGTATAATAAAGTTATTAACATTGTGCAAGTGTAAAACACTTCTGTTATGAAAGTGGTGTATTATTAAATGAATTGTTACAAAAATCCTGGGTAATTTCTCCTGTTGTCCCTCACCACTAAAAATTGAAACCTGAGCCCACTTGTAATCTCTTTTACTAGGTGAACTATCTTTTTTTTATTTTTCCTTACTAATCCAGTGTTTGTTCTCATAGAAACCATGTAACTCCATTAACCTTTTCTTTATACTTGATTATGTATTTTGCCCTATTTCAGTTTAAATAAGCAAACAACAACTGTTCTCTGATCCCAGAACCCAGCCTGTTATCAGTGATGAAAAAGTCCATAACCTTTTCATTTGTTTTACAGAGGTTATAATTTACATTCTTTATATTGTGTGTAGTAGAAGTTGCATATGTATTGTCCTGGCTGTTTGCTTTAACTTAATAAAACCCATTATTTAGAAAAACATAAAGGTATCACTTCTATTATCCAGTCACACTTTTTAGAATCTATGAAGGAAATGTTATGGGATTAAATTTTGAGAAGGAATAACATAACTTTCTGGCATATTTTCAGATAGTTTTCTTCTTTCAGTTTCTTTTTGGATATTTTGAATGCACTGTTTTAGAAATCAGAGCTTTAGCTCATACCTTTAACTTTCAATGCAAAACCTAACAGATTTCCTTACGGTGTTCATACAAGCTCATATTTTCTAATCTGTGTCTTTTTAAATATGGTTAAAAATACTGGGTTAAATTTGGGTAAATATTTGGTTAAAAATAGATAAATTGCATATTGTTAATTTCAAAGACATTTTGTAATTACTGGAAATCCAGAACGACACATATATAGTACAATTTTGTTTAAAGATTTTTGAAGGTCCTTTATCTGTTTGTTTTATTGTGTTGCTCTAGCTTCTGTATTGTAAGGAAAGCCTAGTAAAAATAGTATTGCAGCAAAATACTTTAAAGCATTTTAAGTAATCTGAAGATGGTATATTAATTTCCTTCATCTGTATTTCTCTTCAATTTTGCATGAATCTAAGAGTAGCAGTGTTGAAAGTCTCGAAATGGGTGAAAAGTAGAGTATTGAAGAACAGAAGATAGCAAATTCAATTAAGACAATAACATGGACCAGAGAAAAATTGTTGGCATGCTGAAAAGTAAATAAGGATGAAAACTTGCCAAAGTAAATATGAAATATGCTAAATGTTAAATATTCATAACATTCTTAAGAATCATTTAAGAAAATCTGAGGGGGAAATGACTGGATTTTTGAACATTCTTTCCACAGCTTAGTAGTCATTCAAAAACGCTTCTGGATAGAACAGAACTAGACCTTTTCCTAATTTGATACGGAGTTCAAAGTTATTTTTCTTTACATAAAGAAGGTTAAGGATATGGTGAAATGCATAGAAATCAGAGTATGGCTTTGCCTTCTAGGTTTTAGAAAATTCCATAGTAAGCAGTAGTAAGACTACAGACTAAAGCTTTAGGAATGTGGCAGTGAGAGAAAGAAAAAGGAAAGCAAAATGGCTCTTGAGATTTTACTTTACCACTTTAGTTCCTGGTTTAGTTTTTTGTTGTTTTTAAAGGAAGAAAGGGGAATGATAAGCTGTTTCCTACCACTAAACAGGAGTGTAAAGAAGAATTTATATATATGATGATATAAAATGGTACGTAAACGGTTAAACCTCTTATTATAGTAGCTTACATGACAAGTATTTGCTTTGGAACAAGTGCACTATGGCACCCTGAATTGTGAATGTGTCTGTATGCCCCAAGCCACTAAAAGTGCATGTCTCACCTGCCTGCTGATGATCTAGAACAGCTTGCTAAAATTTCTGGTAGTTCCTGAATTACTTCAATTTGACACAGACTTTTGGGTAGTGAGTGAAATTCTAAGAGTAAGAAATTGGTGCAGCGAAAAGGAGTTGAAAAAAATGAGAAAATATAATGGTGCAAAGGGAGATCACAATTTGAGGTTGTGAACTGCTGATGAAGAAAAGCTGCCTGGTACCTCATGAAGGCCTTGGGAAGATACTGGAATAACTCAATGTATTCTGTTAGTGGGTTTTTTGTTTTGTCAGTTGTATGGTCTTCCGTCCTCCCCTGGTCCTCAGTATTACAGGGTGAAAGCTGTATTTGTCTGATGCTTCTGCTTTTTTTTCCCACCAACTAGAAGTCAGTGTTGTTCATGTGAAGTTGCAGTTGTGACTCTGGCAATGTTTGTTATACCTGAGAAGGTATGTGTGCGAATGTGTAAGTTACCGCCTCACAGTTTTCTGTTGTATGTGTTGAAGGTCACTTTAAAATGGAAGATACTGATTTTAGCCACTGCTGACTACCAACTTCAAACATTTGGGCTGGAATTTTCCAGGCTTTGTCAGTCTCACGCTCCACATCCTATCTTTCTCTGGGAAACTTCTGCAAAATTGCTCATGTATTTCCTAAAATAAGATTAAGGAAGAAAACTCTCTTGTTCCACTGGTGTTTTTGTCTCATGCTTCTTTATAAACAAAGCAGAATCGCCCTCCTGCCAAGCTAGAACTTCATACTAGGTTGGTGGGTGTCCCCTGTTGAATCACTGTTCTTGAAAACCTGATAAAAATCAATTAGGAGTTTTTGAAAATGTTTTTACAGTCAGAGATTTGAAAGTTTGGTGACTGTATCTCCAAAGATGACCCCTCCAGGATAATGGATCAGGCTGTTACAGTTGTTTGGTATGTCAGTCCAAGCGGCAATTTTAATGTGGAACACAGGTTATATGCCCTGTTTACCAAATGAATAGCTATGATAGACTTTATTATCCATCTTGTTAGAAACGTGTTTCTTGCGTTTCCTTTTTCTCTTGCCGTTAAAGCCCAGATTTATTTCAACATTCTTTGTTTTCTCACAGGCAGTAATGTCTGGCTACATTACAAAAGAAAAGGTATTGTTTCATATCCTTATACTGATAATCTAATTTATGGGTTTTATAGATCCTTATGCTAAACATTTACTTTTGGATGCCCAGTTTCATTTTCACAGCTAAGACCTGGAAGAACAGGTTCTGGAAGTTGATCTCTTTCTTTGACAGTGGTTGTAGTTGAGTTCCTTGGTGTAAGACCCATGCTATTTCAAACTGTGTCTCTGTGGAGAGAAATTGAGGAATAATTACCATCTTAGTAAATGTAAAATTGCTGTTTTTCTAGAATCAAGTGGATAGATAGCTGTGGGGCAGAGTCATGGGGTAATTTAATTCTTCAAGGTGACATTCAGGAGCCTCAATCACTAGGTTGTCTTTTCTTGTGTTCATCTTGTGTAAATCTGGCATCTGCAACAAGTGAAACCAGGTTCTGCTGGTAGCAGCCTTGTTAAACAGTCCTGCTTCATTCTCTCGAGTGCTGTCATCCTATTCGTTGTGGATGCAAAGAGCAATGCAGTGTTGCTTGGAAAAAATACTGTGTCATCATGTAATCAGTCTGTCACAATGCATGTACAAGATTAAGGATTAAAAGGAAGTTTTAGTTCTGGCTTTTTTTTGACTTACAATTCTTGATTCATAATCTTTTTAGCAATGTAAGCTTTTGTATATAGCATACTACTGTATTTTCATATTGATATTTGTCAATGCTTTGTTTTTGTTAAATTCCAGTGAATTTGGTAATTTTAAACCCAAGGTTGTCCTAGATAATGGTATGATGCTATGTTAGAAGGCTGCCTGTGTACCTGGGGACTTGGTCTGAAATTTGATAAAATATTATCTAGCCAGACTCGAAGAATTAACTAAGAACTAGTTTAAGAATATATTTCTTTGATTATTTTAATATACTGTATCTTATCTTAAAATGTACTTTAAATACTATCTTATTTAGTGCTACAAATATCAAAACATTCTGTGAGTTAACGCGCCATATAAGGATGGTTATACAGGATGTGCAGCAAGCATCAGATATTCTGTAGTAGCACTTGTGCAACCTCTAATGCTGAAACCTGCTTTATCTAGTGCTAGGTTATTATCATTTGGAATATTCCTGTGTTCTGGTTTAGAAGGAACCTTTACTTTGTGCTGTAGGCAAATGAGATTTAATTTTGATTTTTCTCAAAGTCCAAAAGAGTGTTTATTTTCAATCCTACAGTTTTTGCTTAGAGTTTGTACTTCT